TCTGTGGTTCTGTGTGGTTCTGTTGGATCAGGGTCTGTGGTTCTGTTGGATCAGGGTCTGTGGTTCTGTGTGGTTCTGTTGGATCAGGGTCTGTGGTTCTGTTGGATCAGGGTCTGTGGTTCTGTGTGGTTCTGTTGGATCAGGGTCTGTGGTTCTGTTGGATCAGGGTCTGTGGTTCTGTGTGGTTCTGTTGGATCAGGGTCTGTGGTTCTGTTGGATCAGGGTCTGTGGTTCTGTTGGATCAGGGTCCGTGGTCCAGGGTTTCTCTACCTGCAGGACAGATGAAGACTTCAGAGTGGAGGGTTTAATAAAGTCCCAGGTGGACCCTCATGGACTCTGGTTCTGGACCATTAGAACCTGATCTGTTGATCCTAAACCAGGACTGATGTTTTACAGGAAGTCTTTGAACTGTGACACAAAAAGTTAAATSTTCATAAAGATTTAGTCTCTTTTCATGTTTATTGTTGTTAAATTTATTGATTTTAAATCCTCTGATTTGCTGCGAAAATAAAAATTATTTATTAGTTTTTTCCTTTAATGTTTCTGGTCCGCGCTCTGTTCTCAGTGAAAAAGGATTTATTGGACGTCTCTGGTTTCAGTCCCAACATCAAAGTCTTTTGTCCTCCTTCCTTGTCCCGTGGTGAGGACACCTGGAGACACAGTCTGTCCTCTCCCAGGGACAAAATGTGTCCAACAGTCAGACTGAGTTTTCAAACATGAATATTTCACATTAAATCAGAGAATGTGGGTCACTGAAGATCCTGCAGAGCAATGAAACAGGAAGTACATGTTACCCTTTAAAAATAAAAGCCTGTTTCATTTGTTAGTTGAATCATTCTGACATCAATGTGTAATTTAATAAAAACATTTTATTAAAAGAGCTCAAATCTTTGTTTCAATGCCCTGAAATTTTAAGATTTTTAAAACATAAATAAGTTAAAATATAATTTATAATTATTTCTTACTGGTCAGAATTTAAAGCGTTATTAAAAATGTGGTTAATAAAACAATTATTCGTGATTTGTAACCATTAGTTTAAATAAAACACTTAAAAATAGTATCGACCTGGAATCTTATTTTGAAAGTCTCCAGCGGAAGTGGCATGTTGCGTTCAGGTGCGTTGACGCAGAGAGAGTTTGGGAGAATCCCTGGGAGAGAGTGGGGCATTCAGGGAGAGGAGGGAGACTTTTTACAGACCGAACTTTGATGTTTGACCCGTTAATGTTCCGGTAAACATGGTCCGGGATGGAGCTCTGACGGTTTTTTCCCGGAGTTTGACTCGAACGGAACTTTTCTGGGTCGGTTCCAGCGGGAGGAAGAACGCTGCTTCTCCGGGGAGTTTTCCGCCGCCTCTCCTTCGCGTTTAACGGTTTCCGAGCTCCGGACGCCTCCGCGGGAACGGTGAGTTTATTTTAAGGCGAGTTAGTTCTGTTTGACGGAGGGGTTTCAGCGGAACCGACCAGTTCGGTTCTGGTCCAACTTCGGTCCGAAGGTCGGCGGTTGTTGGAGTGGCGGTGGTGTGTTCACGGACCGGACTCTAGTCCTGATTTTCCAGCCTCTCCGCCGCGGAGGAATCCCTCCGGAGTTTCTGGAAGTGATGAGGTTCATGTTTGTGGATCGTCGGACCCGGGTCGGACCGAGACCCGGCGGAGGTTCGTGCTCCTCCGGCTGGTGAAGGAGGCCGGGAGCCGGAGGGGCTGCAGGGGGAGAACCGGGTCTGACGGTCCGGTTATGTAACCGGGAAGAACCGGAGCCTGAAACTCTGTGAGGATGATGATGATGATGATGATGATGAAGCTCTGATCTGCAGCTGAGATCAGCTGTAGAACTGG